ATATATATATATATAAAGAAATAACAATGTTTTTTTAATTTCAAAATTTATTTTCACACTGCATCTGATATTTTAATCACTTGAAATTGTGCACAAGAGAATCAGCAGGAAGAAAACAACAGTCGTATTTACACAAAAGCAGATTTACAGTCAAATTTCAAAATAAGATACAACTACATTTAGAGGGGTAACTAAGATTTTAAACACACTATCTGCTTTATTATCAATTAGGAATACTTACAGGTCACATTTTTGCCTTTTTGGGATTCTTTATTTAGCAATTTAAGTACAAGTCAATGGAACCGAAAACCAGTTTCTGTAACCAATCTATTTCAGTCCTGTGTATTAAACTATGTTGTGAGACAATGGGGAAAAACTGATTAACAGTTGCAAAAAAATAGACTTTTCAGTGCAGTTCTTTTTAGTCCCATTGACTTTAGCATTGCTAACAATGTTTACCTCCAATATTCAAACCAGAGCAGCAAGTTCTTTTTCCAATAAATTTAAAGGATACTCATGATACAGTAGCTCATGATAAATTACCTGACCCTTATAATAAGGGAAAGACGTATTTGTCAGGTAGTGATTCTACAGTTTAGGATTTATTACAGGCACTGATAATACACCTCAGATTATGGAGAAATCCATCCAATATATTCTGTGCAGCCCATCGTCCATGATGCTAAGATATCAGAGGCATTAGATGGAAATTAATTAAAAATCTGATTGATAAGGAAGACAAAACAGTCAAAAAAGTCAAAAATCAATGAAAAAATAAATAAATAGTAGCATTTTAGATTCATATTTGACTGAATGATGTTTGATATGGTTAACTGCAGCCGGTGTGCAGTTTACAAAGACAGCATAGGAGAACAGTACTGTACGATGAGAACAGAATGAGAACTTATCACATCATTTGGATTGAAAACACACATACACGCATCTTACAGGAATAGAAGCTCTCACAAAATACACGTCATATCCCATGACAAGATGCTTGATTCCATCAACATGAATGATTTACATCGATACAGCTATACGACTCAAGCAAAAGGTCCCCCAAAAGCAGGAGCTGCCAGAGTCGTCCTTTGAAAGTGTTGCACAGCCACTAAAGGTTAGAGAAAGTAAATACTCAGTGGGTAACCTTTTCATTGGAAGTGAGAGTATGTTTGCTGGAGACCTGTGAAATGCAGGTCAGAGAAGCCAGAGGGGAGCATGCTGACAGGAAAGTAAAACCATTCAGCAGAGGAAACACCACTTAAGGCTACAAATGCTTGGAAACCGTCTGTGTATCAACCAGAGAATACTGAAACCAGAAACCCAGCGGCTGTTCGTGACCGCTGACAACACATCACTGACGGAAATATCGAAGCTGTTTGGGGAACATCGAGACACCTGGATTACTGAATGTAACAGCTACTCTGTCTCGCGTTTTAACAAGTTGATTTACGGACTACCTGTGGTTTTTTTTTTTTGAAAAGCTTGGACAACTATACTGCCCTGTAAGCCAAGACCACAATCTGAACATTTTTTACCATCTACAAAATCATTAGAACTTACAAAAACCCAGCATATCAGATTTGAAAAACAGCGGTAAAGGCCGAATTGTGGGTGTCTACACGCTAGCTAGTTAAGGGTTGCTGGTGAAAACTAATTCACCCACTTTTTCTACCTGTTTCCTACATTTAAAATCATAGCAAACGAGTTTATCATACCATATAAATAAAGGCAGTAGCTAAATCGGATCACCACCAGTTAAACTAGTCCTGCTAGAAGCTAATTAGCCTAGCTTAGCAGAGTTAGCCTCTGACACTAGAGGGATTTACATGATTTGATATGGTTAAGCTACTTTTCAATCATATACTCAAATGTATTAATTCATTAGACTAGTTATTCAGTGCAAATAGACAAGACAGTTAAAGGAAACCTTTGTTTTTAAGTTCCTCTGTTTCACTACGTAGCCTTCAAATTTCAAGCTAATTTTCCCCAACTTCACTGTCTCTGTAGTTACTGCTCTCTGCTTTTGTAAGGAATATTGTTGATGATACGCACATTTTTATGAAGATATAATATTAGTCAGCAGTTGATTTAATGAACCCTGACTTGACACTAGAGGAAATACACAATCTGAAGTGTAAAAGCAGAAAAAGGACCCTATCATGAGGCCTCTCATGTTCCACTATTGGGTTTGGCAGTAACAGCTGAAGAATAAGACCATCGCAGTTTCAGTAGTCGTTTGGTCCTTGGTTACATCTGACACACACACACACACACACCCATAATGACCTGGAAAGCAAAGACACGACACATCATGTGAACACACAGGATGGACTCACAGTTACTGCTGGTGAGCAGGATTTCCCTGTCTCGTCTCAGGACGTAGACTCTTTCAGCAAGTTTTCATGGGTAACAACACAGTGCGAGGGAGCAAAGCATTTAACCAAAACCAGTTTTTTGTTCTCAGCAGCTCTGGAAAAATTCGCTTTATGCATATAAGGTATCCATGTTGTCATAGTGCTGAACTAAGCAGAGGAATGTGGAAAGCACAAGAGACTCCTGGATCGACACAGATCCATAAATCCATATTTTACTTTCATTTTATTCATTACTGTTGCAATTATGAAAAGTACGGTCCATCGCAGCTGTTCTGTAGTCCTTGGAGATCCATCTTGACCTAAAACATCAGTAAGTACACTCTGACTAAGAGCAGTCGCATCTACTCAGTCTTTCCTGACACGGATCCCTGTGCAGCATCAGTGAAGGGTCAGTGTTGTTTCAAAGATACATATTTCAGGCTGGGATCCACGCTTTCAGGCCCCAGACCCACTTCGGGTGCCCATCCAACACAAGCGATAGGTGATGTTGTTGCCTCACAAATGATTGAGATTGAGCGGGCCAATAGACGATCCTCGATTTTAGGTCAGTTTGGTGATTGTGAGGAAGCAGTTGTCAGTGGACTCCTTCTTCCAGAGATCCTTTGGCTTCCCAAATCTTTACCGTGCGATCACTGCCAACAAGCGCACAGAAAAAATATCAACAAAAGACGCTCATAACAATCGGTAATAGCTACAAAATTTCCATTTCAAGATTTAGCATTTTTGATTGAATCGTATCACCACTCTTATTTGACAGTAATGAGAAAAAGCCTAAAAATTCAAATGGGCATGTTTTGTGACTCACTCTGAGGCAGTGAACAGTTGGCTGCTGTTAGTGGCCAAGCCGTTGATGGGACTGTCGTGTCCCCGGACCTCGCCGAGGGGTGCAAGTGAGTCGGCGTGCCAGAGGCGCAGCAGTCCTCCTCTGCAACCGCTGAGCAGCATTGGAGAGCCTGGCACCACGCCCAGAGCGCTAACCCAGTCTGCCTGTGCGCTGACAGACTGCTAGAAGAAACAACAGTTTGTTCTGTATCTCGGATCATACTGTAGTTTTTAAACTTTTTTAAACTTTAAGATGGTAGCAGCGTACCTGTAGCAGTTGTTTACCGGCTAAGTCCCACTTCTTGATGTAGTAGTCTCTGGAGCCACTGTAGAAAACATCTCCGTGCACTGCAAGAGATTCCACGCCGTCCTGATGAGCTGGATCAAACGTATGGCTGGAACTGATGCTACCCTGAGCACCTTCTGCCACCTCAAACATCTGGAGAAACCAACTGTTTATTGCATACACGCAGAAATGGGAATGTTATTACAGTTAGTGTGTTTATTTGTCTCTTACTTTAATATGATGGTCTTTGGAGCCAGTGAGGACAACATCCTGTCCATTGCCTAATTTATCAACAGTCAGACACATGACAGGTCCCAGATGGCCAGTCAACTTCCCCGTGGACACAAACCTAGACAAAGAAGAAAGTAGATGAGGTTAATTCTGTTCTTTCTGGATAGTTTGTATGACAAAAACTCTGATCAGTGTTTGAACTTACTTGCGGAGGTCCCACATGCGCACAGCATTGCCGGCGGCAGCATAGAGGAAGGTGCCGGAAGGGTTGAGAGCGATCTGGTTGATCTGGCTCTCTCCTGGAGGGATGGATAAACTCCTGGCAGAGGAACAGACATCCCCTGAACCCACCTGGCCCGATGACCTGACATCCAGAAAAATACAAAATCCTCATTAGGGGCGACAATGTTAGGCTGAAGAAGATGTCAGGAGATGTAATTGTGCTCTTACGTGAGAGTGCGGATACACTTGGCAGAGTCTCGTATGTCCCAGACTTTGATGTAAGCGGTGGAAACAGTGAAGACGAGACTAGAAGTGTACCTGAAATATAACCACAAAAACATATTTATCAAAAGCACCCCATGTACTGCTACTATATACTACTATTACTGCTATTTAACCTGTGCTATTGCTGCACATTTCTACCTGACTGAGACGACACTGCTGGGATGATCTGCCAGAGACATGATCTCCTGACCCGTCACCAGGTTCCAGACTTTGCACGTGCGGTCTGAAAACACGCACACGAAGCACATGTTAGAGAACAAACCAAAAAATAATACTACGTTTTGCAAACAATTATCGTTTTTTTTACCTTTGGACCCTGTGAAGAGCAGATCATCTGTGGCGTCTACACAGAGAACAGGTTTGGTGTGCCCCTCCGCTACATAGACACACTGAAGTTTGGCCCCGCGGCTGTTCTTCGGGGCCGTCACAGGGTTGATCACACCTCTGCAACACACACCACATGATAAAAGCTATACCTAGTGACTGGTACTACTACAGTACAGTTGATGTGATGCATAAAAACTACCTTCACATTTCTATTTAAAAAGAAGAGGCCCAATGGATTTCTGAAGATGAACTTAAATTAGTAGATGAACATTACCTATGGCCTTCAAATACAGGTGACTCCTCCAACCTGAATAAGAAAACAGTAACATGTAAATAAGCCAATTAAAATATAATTTTCTGTGCTTAGGGAGAGAAAAAGTCAATATGTACAATAAATAATCAAATACATATATTGTTAGAAATTCCTGAATATAGGAATATGCAAATTATTTCATCAAGTTTTCATGCTGGACACAAGATGTCTCCTACTTCACTGCTTTATAAATTACTTTAATGTTATATGTCATATGCAGTGTATGCTTCATCCAGTAACAGTTGACATAAACATGAATTTAACCTTTTTTTGTATTCTCAAAAGTTTTCTCAACGTTTTCAATAATGCTATAACTAACAATATGTCATATTCTTTGACATGGGGGTCTTGAGTGCTCACACAGTTGAGAGGACTTGAGCACATTTGCAGGTCAAAGAAAAACATGACAATGGTATTTTTCACTTACGGTGATTTGTGGTCGCTGCCTTTAGTTTTAACCTCTGCTGTGCTGAGCGAAGGTGTGTGTGTGGGTGCTGGGATGTGCGTCGGTGCTGGGATGTGCGTCGCCGTGGGTCCTTTATCTTGCACCCTCCTTCGGCTGAGGGGCGAGCGCTCCAGTTGCCTCCTCTCGGTCCCTGTAGGTGACCTGGATCCAGAACTACAGAAAGTCAAAGAGACAGGAGTTATTTTGTACTGTAATGAATAATGTAATGAATGTCTCTGCATTACCTTGCGACCAACAAGCTCAAGCAATAATTCAGAGCTACAGTACTGAATGATGAACGATGAACTAAATAAATAGTCAACATGTCAGACAGAGAGGTATCTTATCTTCTGCCACTGAGAAACGTTGCTTTAAACACTCACATGCCAGCTGGCCTGGCAGCCAGTGCAGATGGGGAAGCAGTTTGTTCGCGGTCAGGGGTTTGACCAAGCGCGTGACCCTGCATGTCTGCTGGCCCTTCCAGACGCTCTGAGAGGGGCAGCAGAGGGGCCGAGAAGTCTCCGGTGGGAGATTCACAGGACAGATCCCCACTGCTGGCATACAGCAGCTCCATCTGGGTGGTGGTCCGCCTGCGAGCCTGAGAGACCAGAATAGTTTGGCTTAATTTTCAGCTGACTCACAAGTCAATGGACAAGTTAGTAATGATTCCAAGTCCTATAAATAATTACTGAGGAATGGAAAAAGTTGTAGTTTTAGAAAGTAAAATATGTACAGTGTATAAGATGCAGAGCACAGTACCTTGCCTCTCGGTCTGGATTCACCACATAACTTCATTAGATCTGATGCCAGTGTGCTGCAACAAAGTGAGGGATTCTTAATCAGTTACACCCAACTAACATGCTCACATGCTTATGCTCCAGATACTCCAATACCATTTTTTCCTTCCCAATCCTGATACCTGAACTTGAGCATGGTCCAATACAGAGTACCAATACGATGTAAGTGCATTTTAAAGAATGCCTTTGTTGCTTTGGATTGGTTAGTATTAGGGTGAAAATATCAGGGTAACCGAAGAAGGGTGGGTCATCGCCTCACTATCCTAGGGGAATAAATGGGAATTCTGGGAAGTAACAAGGTCCTAATATTACATGGTATCGGATCGGTGAACAGACGTACAAACTCGCTGATACCCACTCCCGCATATTCGGCCGTATCAGATACATACTGACATAATACATAATGTAAGGGGAAAATAAAAACATTTTAGCCAGCAAGCAGCTCTGATAAAGGCAGAACATATAGTGCTGCCTACCACTTGTGAATTACATTATTATTATCATTATTTTGTCATTTTAGGGAGGCCTTTTAATAAGCCCCACGGATTCTTGTCTCACATGATGTACACATATTAGTTCTATCATCAAATGTCCATGTTTTAATCGCACAACTAAATTCAATTACATTGTTTCTGTATTAAACCAGACAGTTTGGAACATGGATGGATGCTTTTGTATTATACACTGTATCCGTAGCCAACGTTTTTAGCAATGCTGACATTCCCACACACACACACCCATGGTCCACCCACACAGGTGTTTTCACTTACAGCATGTAGCCGGTGTAGACTTCTGCAGTAAGAAGAAGGCTGTGTGGGTGTGTACAGACTGCGTTTGACTGAGAAATGAGAGGAGGGGCAAGAAACTCCCAGCTCTGCCAAACGTCAGCCTGAGCAGAGGTCTGATTATCTAGAATTAAAAACACCTGTGTGCTTTAGCTGTGTACTGCGCAGACCTTACAGCACAGGTGTAATTAATAACACTAACGATGGCTTGTCCCACATAAGCGTCCCAGTATGTCCCAACAGCAAGACACTGGACGCAGCCATAGTTAATATTATCATTTACACCTGTGCTTTCGAAATATGACACTTAAAAACAAGCTGCCCATTTTTATACACATTTCTGTTGATTGTGAATAAATCAAGCCTGCTGTGTGTCTGGATTTACCTGCCCTCCGTGGCTGGACTCGCGGTGGACTCGTCGCTACTGCTGTCATCTCCATTCTCTGTAAAATACATATACATTAATGCACATAGTGATAGATATAATATGATTTCTCACTTAATTTGCAAAGCATGTGTGTTTCTTTTCCCTAATGTTCCAGTATATCTGCTATAACGCTAAATATAATACAGCACAACAATGATTATGGCTTCAGCAGTTCATAACTAGTTCAGGGATCACCAGGTTTAGTTTTACATAAAGGGGGACAATCGGGAGTCATTAGTGTAATGCGACTGGAAGCTACAGCGCTGGAGTATTTGTCCTGTGTAAAGGAAGAACGGAGAAAGCATGAGAGATACAGGAAGACACAATCACAGAAATGCAGACACACAAACTGCTGTATACTCGTGACTTCAGCTTTGAGTCTTACTGCCGTTTAGTTTTAGAGACGACAACCTGAGTAAGTGGGACTTGCTAGCAGGTGGGGTGACGAGGGAAACTTAACACATCATGCACGTCATGGCAGAGTTACTTCAACTGGTTAGTTTTTAAAAAGGAGGACCGAGGGTTGATGCACACTACAAGATTTCAGAATCTAGTTTAGAAGTCAATCTTGTCTGCACAACTACATTATTAGAGTATTTATATAATTTTTAAGTAAAGAGAATAAAAAGGACAAAGGTCACCCAACTAAATAAGAAGTTTCTGGCAAAACGAAAGATTAAAATGCACTTATGAGTTAAAAAATTATTTTATCTTTTAGTTAAATTCCATATTTGCTTCTAATGGGGGGTACATTTTGTGGAAATCTTGTTGTGTGCATGTGCCACGCTCTCTCGAACACAGCCACAGTGCTATGCATCTCGTACTCACCTGGTGACAGGTAACCTAACTCTGAGTTCACACCAAACACAACAAACAAAGAAAACAAACAAATCAAAATCCAACCCAAAGATGAGAAAGGAGCTACTCTTTATTTTACAGGCCTGCTTTTTGTTTCAATTGCTTTTTTTGTTTTCTCTTGTAATGAATATTCCAATGACAAAGTATCAATACACAGAAAAGAGAGGCCTGCAAAATTAAATGTAGCCATGTGGTGAGAGAAATGATGATTAAAAAAGGCGATTGTGTTGGACATGCTCAGAGCGGCATCGACTTGTTGGGGTTTCCCACCTTGCAGGGCGCTGCCCAGCAGAGCGTCCAGTTCCGGGTTGATCTCAGCTTTCTCCTTCAGCATGTGGAACAGCAGCTGGTTCTGGGTGGCGCTGTTGATCTCCGTCTGCTTCAGCCTGCCCTCCATCACCTTCAGCTGGGAATCCTTCTGAGACGCTTGCAGACCCTGACAATGACCACGCAGCAGACGGGTTATCACTGGAGACGCAGCAATGAATCTCGTTTTAATTGTTTGTGTATCTCATAAACAGGCAAACCTAATGAAGCCTCTGTCTTTACCCTTAGCAGTCTATGTTGTTGTAATTACTTCCACTTCTTCATTTGTTCTTTGCTTCTGGGTTCCTCGTTGGACCAATTAGGTTTCATCAAATCTAATCTTATCTAATCTAACTGAAACTTAATTCAATCACGTTGCTCCATTTAAAGTCTCATTGAATTTGATCTTATAAAAGGAGCCGTGGCCACAAGAGCGAAATCACGATGAGCAGACAAGTTGTATACAAGTTGCCAAAACAACTGTGGCAACCGTAAGAGCAATCACATTACAATCCAGTTCACAGTCCATTTAGTTTGAAAGAACATTCTGGGGGTGGTGTTCGGTGACTTTTATAAAGATAAAAAAATGGGGTTTATCAGGTTAAATAAGAATAAAACAGAAACCTGACTTTACCTGTTGTCAGTACATGAAAGCAAACAAAGACACACTAATGACATTAAGACTCTAATAACATTAAGAAAAGAAGGGCAGGAGGTACCTTATTGATGGCCATAGTTATGAGATGGTCCAGAAGGAAGCGGGCCTCGGATAAATTACAAGAGCTGATCACCGCGGTAACATCCACTGTGTCTCCTTCCTCCTGAAGCCCAGAGCAAAAACACATCCAATAAAGAGCCATTGTAAGAAACTCACAGGACAATGTATTTGACCATAATGTATCTTGCACAATTTTTCAAGGAATATTTTGGGAAATGCCCTCACTCACTTTCTTACCAAGAATTAGACGAGAAGATTGATACCACTCATGTATCTGTCTGTTTAATATAAGGCAACCAACAGCGACCGGTTAGCTTAGCTTAGCACAAAGACTGGAAACAGGGGGAAACAGCACCAGTGACAGCAGCCAGTCGCATGTCGCATTTAATCGATAGTGACAGCTGGAGAGTGACAGGAAAGGGTGGAGGGAGAGAGGGGATGGCACCCAGGAAAAGGGCCACAGGTCAGAGTTGAACCCATGGCCACGGCAGCAGGGACACGGTACATGGACGCTCCACTGTTGTAACTTTTGATTGCTCATTATTTAAGCTCAATAATAATTGCTTAGGAACTATTTATGGAGCACCATGAGAGTTTGACAGAGTAAACGTGCCACATGAGGCCACGCAGCTCAAATGCTCTTCAAATAACACATTTGTAAAATTACCTTTATGAACTGCTGTTCGGTGTGCATCATTAGGCTGGTGGACCTGAACGTTTCTGGCTGTATTAATGGGCTGCACTGCCAGTGTTGTTTTATTGAGCCATTGTTATTCTGACAAATAAGCACCTAATGCTTATTTGTCTAACTGGGGTCCCAAAAAGCTGTCAGTAGTGCTGAACTGTGCAATTATTTCCCAATTGTTTGCCTGAGGGCTACAATCCAGTACAGGCATATACTAACTAATGAAGTAGTGAGACACTTTACTGTGCTTGGTTCTCAGCTGTGTTTATAAATGCACATTCACTGTCTTGATTGCCACAGTTTATGAAGTACTTTGAAAACTCAAACTATGGTATAATGTCCATAAAAAGAACCTTCTCTTTATCCTACTTTACCTTCAACTAAAAGCGTTATCCCACCAAATAATAAGATTCCTCACCTTGGCCTCCTCCATCTGCATGATGTTTGCCTGGCAGTCGGCGATGCTGTCGTTGATATAGTCGATGTTGGCGCTCAGAGACTCCAGCTCCTCATTCAGGGAGGCCAGGGAGCGGTCGGCGTCTGCACCCTCCACCGCCACCTTCTCTCTCTTTCTGGACACTCGCTCCCGCCGCCTGGTCAGCTCTTCCCGTTGCTAAAGCAGGGAACAAGAGAGGAAGGAATATACAGTAAGGGACAAAGAAGCCAGTTCATGTAGGATTTAACACATTTTACAAGACAAGAATTTAAAATTTCAGTTTCACGGGCAAATACCATTTTCCACTTATAAGGACCAAAAAGAATCCATAATTTTTTCTCTTCTTGCTTTATTTTTTCTCGAATCTGATGACATTATGGGTTACCTTTAGCAGTCTGTTCATATCTGTCTCCATGTTAGAGATGGTCATCCTCTGCATGATGATGTCGGTGACACGTCTCTCCAGTGTCTGCCATTTGGCCCTGGCTGTCCTGCTGAGGTAGGTACTTCCCATCCGCACTGGAGAACTCCTGAGGAGAAAGACGTGGCTCTTTTAGAAACTCCTAAAACCACATGGACAACCTCAACACATATAAACGCGCTCAGATGCAGTACCTGGCTCCATTGGATGGGGACGCTCCAGAGGTGTGCATTCTTCCTGGGGTGGCTCTGTGTGACGGCTCCTCGGGTAAGCTCACCTTCCTGCTCACCTTCCCGGACACGGGCCTCACCTGCCGCCTAAGAGCTGTCACCTGATACAGGTCAAAGAAGAGAGAGTTTATTTTGCATTATAGAGTGAAACAAAAGCAGATGTAAACCTTGTGATACTATCCATACTCTCCCCAGTGTGACTGTGTGTGTGTGTGTCACCTCTTCATTCTTCCTGCGAAGAATCAGCTCCTGTTGTCTTTTCTGGGCCTCCATCTGCTTCAGTTGGTGCTGTAAGAAGGAATGAATGTTAAGTCATCTACAGTGGGAAAGTGAAGGGTTGGTAAACTATGACTTTGAGTATGTAAGTCATGACAAGAATAAAAAAAAAACTGAAATATATATTACATTTACCTTTGAAACACAATCATAATTGAACTTTGAGAGCACTAACTATGATGTATAGAATATTTTTTTTTGTTTTACACATATCAGCCTAAAAACCTTGAGTTTAGGTGGGTTTACCCATGACTTTATCTTTGCTTATCTGTAAAATAAACCAAATAGAAGTACTTTGAAAAATAATATGTAAACACGAGAGGTTTCCTCTCACCTCCGCTCTGCGCTGGTCTTTCTTCAGAGAGGCGATCTCCCTGTTCCTCCTGCACTCTGTGGCTCTGTTTCTCTCCTGCTGCTCCTTCATCTGACGCATCAGCGCCACCTGGTGGAGCACAGCAGGATAGGATCAGCACTGAAACAAGGCAAGTGTTAAAGGAAAAAGTGAAAGAAAAAAGCCCACAACCTATCCCTTTACCTTAGTCTTCTTCATCTCATTCACATCCATCTGGAGTTTCTTGAGCTGCTTCTCGTACTGCGACTGGTTCTTGAGCAGGCGGGCGTGCTCCTTCTGAGCCGACTGCAGCTTCTGCAGTTCCTTGTTCATGGAGCTCAGCTTCCTCTCATACTCCGCTTTGATCCTCTTGGCCTTCTCCTCCGTACCCGACTCCACTGAACCTGGAGATGAAGAAGAAAACCATGAAAGAACAGTCCTTTATTTATTTATTTTTTCTTCTAGGAGGTACCAATTTTAAGGCCCGTCACAGAAGTCAAGTATCTGTTTTGCCTGTGTCTCTCACCCATATTATGCAGCACCTTGTCCCTCTCCAGCTGCGTGTCTTTGATCTTGTTCTGCAGCATCATCAGCTTCTGCTCGTACTGCTGTTTGAGAGTGTGCAGGCGGCGCTGGCTGTTCTCCAGCTCGTCTATCAGCTTCTGCTTGATGGCGATCTCGCAGGTGATGTTGGCCAGGTCGGCCTGGACGTTTTCTGCCGCACAAACGCATCATTACACCTCGACGGCCACTTCCGTTTTATCACCAGCTATGACCACAGAAAAGAGGCTGGGCATAATGGCTTGTCTTGCTACAGCTAACTGTACCTTTCTCCTCCAGTTCTTCAGAGTCGGACTCGTCAGACGTCTCATCTCCCGCCATGTCAAAGTCCTCCTCCTCTCCATCTGCGTCCTCGACTTCTTCGTGGTCGCTGGCCTCCTGACAACACGTAAGCACAAGCATGGAGAAGACAAAACACGCTAAAACGTGCAATAAACATCTTTAAACAGCAATCTTTTGAGCAAACGTGAGTGAGAGTTAGTGATTCTCCACCTACCACTTCTGCCTCCTCGTTGACTCGCTCCTGCTCGTTGTCTGGCACTTCCTCTTTGACAACACTGAAAGAGGAGAAGACTGTTAGCCAGCTGCTAACCAAGACACTGTTCTTGTAGATACTGTAAGTCAGATTTGGAAGGAACTGCAATTCAAATTACAACAAGGATGGGTAAAATGCACATGCAAACGATTACATCGTTCACTCAATCATTTAATCAGATCAGGAGCAGATGTGGAATCAGTGTTGATTAATGGATGATTTCGCTCTGATTGCACGGGGGGTAACGTTAATGATTAATGAACACTGGGAAAGACGAAACAGAACGATTAACCAATCATGAAAAGTTATTACCATCCACACTGCAAACTGATTTCATTTCAAGAAGGGCTGCCACACACTACTAAGATCTGTTGACCAAATACTTCCATCATTTAAAAAAACTAGATTTTTTTTAACATTAATCACAATGTTTTTTGCACTCTATCAAAGTCAAATGTTTTTAAGTTTGAGACACTACTTATGATGAGATCTGATCAACATCTTGCCATGCGCAGTGAAGAGGAAAAAAGAGACTAAACAAAGGGTTAAGAGGAAGAGGTGAGAGCTGGTTAAAATATCTGCTTCCCTCCAGGAGTGTAAACCACCTGTAGGTGCAGAAGACGTTAGAGATTAGTTACTCTGGGAACTTAGAGAGGGAGATTTTGGGGTTCGGAACCAGGTCAACAATCAACTGAAACCCTGCCAATTACTTGGTGCGTTTCAATCTAAACACAAAGGGACATGATCTGCACTGCTGGTAATTGAACCAGTTTTAGATTTGACCCAGTCCAGGATGGGGTGTAGCAAACCTGGCGTGTTCAACCGGCGTGTGGGGGTGATTCTCTTCGCATCGCCTTAGTCTTCAGAGAGAGAGCGGGGTGGAAGGTGGAAGGGATGGGGGTGAGGATGGTGAGGTGTGGAGGAGGTGGTAGAGGGGCGCAGAACAGGCCGGCAGAAGTTGGGGCAAGTGCGGGAATGTTACGAGACGGGAGAAAGACAGAGTGAGAGAGCAGCGAGAAAGACCAGGTGAGTGCAGGGGCTCTCACATACATCTCGTGTTCATATGATAAATCCTACTTATGGAGATCACATAATTAAATCCCTCTCTCCGAATGTGCAGATTTGAAGCTGGCACTCACAAGTATAGAAAGACACACAGGCCCATTATACAATCACTCACAACAAAAGGGTAAATGATCATTGTGCTACAGTGCGCCAAAGCACCCATCATCATTAATAGCTTGTCTCAATCCAGCCTCCATAAAAAGAACATCAGGGTGTAAAGTGCTAATGCAGGAAGCCAGGAGATAATTACCAACAGCACACCAGGCCGCACACCCTCGCCATGGCAACAGACAGACATCAAGACTCTCTCTTTTCAGGTTCTTTGCAACATAAAGCAACAAATCCCACACCATACCTCTTCTTCTTCTTTTTCTCCTTCTTCTTGAGCTTCTCCAGGTCCTTCTTGGCCATCTCTATGACGTCGCTGGCCTCCTTCTCAGGGGCGAGGAGGGCGGAGGAGAAGGAGCCTGGCCCACCGTACAGCGAGGAGCGCGTGGAGGCCCGGGACAAACTCTTCCTGAGATTCACGCTCACGGCCTCGCTTTCAAGAAGTTTAGCTCTAAGAGACAGAACATGATTAAATGAAAAAAGAACAATAACGCACATTTGGGTTTGAAATCCTGCTGTCTTGTTTATTCATTCGCTGTATGAGTATGGCTTGTAGACACTTATTACTGTGCACACTTACTTAAACATTACTGAACAGTTGCAGTATGTGGAATCTATTTAACAATTATTTATATCTACAATTGTTATGGCCGCCACTGATTAAATGTTTAAAACGTTCCAAGTGGTTTGGAAAAGCTGCTGATTAAATAATAATGCTAAAATACTACAGTCAAAACAAAGACGTGGTCAGTACTAACCTGAGCTCCTCGATTTCTTTAATGTAGTTCTGAATCATGTTCCCGATCTCTTCGCTGCCTTCACCTACAAGCAGAGGCATCACTTTAGCTTTAATACGGATTTATGTTGACTTATCAGGAGAGGTGGAGAAGATGATGAAGGTTTTTAATTTAATTATTAATTTAGTCACATATAACAACAACTACTCTCTACTAGTCTGTGAGAACCAGCTATTTTTTCATCTAGTGCCATCAGCAGGTAAAAATATGAATTCATCAAATACTTTTTACAACTAAAAACAACATAAAGATTATGAAATTCCCATCAGACATAATACAAGCTAAGAACCTAGTAAAATAGGCTAAAAAATGATTTATCTAAAATCAAAATAAATACAAAAGAATAATACTTAAAAAATAAATAAATACACAATCCTGTCACAGTTCCCACCTGCTTTAGCCAGGGCCTGGTTGGCCTGGTCACTGAGGATGTGTGTGAGTCTGGCTCTCTGGGCGTCGATGGTCTCCTGCATGGCCTTCACTCTCACCCTGAGGTTGTTGTTCTCCGTCTGCAGCATGGAGTTCTCATGGACCAGGTCGTTGATGCCCTCCATGCCATCTTCACCCACCATACGCTTCCCCTGGGCATTTAAGATTAATATCATGAAGTATTATTTCCTCTATTTATCTCTTATCCCATCTACCAGCCTCCCTCCTTTCCTCCTGCCTTCTTACCGTCCTGTATTCCATCAGCTCCATCTGCAGTCGCGCTATCTCTGTCCTCAGGGTGCTGATCTGCTGACTGGCTTTGTCCTGGTTCACCACCACCTTGTTCTTAATGTTTCGGGCTCTGTTGGCGTACTTCAAAGTGTTCAACGTCTCCATGAAGTCCCGGTCCGATGGGCTGATACAGGCGATCATCATCGTTTGACTGTAGAACGCACAAATGAAGAATGGTTTCCAGGTGTTTTTATGATTGTGCTAGTCTTTTTACACATGTATTGAAACCATAATTGAGCCCAGTCAAAGGGTTATTGCATTAATGATGGAAGTTATGGCTTAACTTGCATAAAAAAGACCAGATTTACAGTTAATGATACATCACTGTTCTCAATACAAAATATAATCAGTACAGAAGTGCCCCATTCTGCATGTAGCAATGATTACTGCATTGTGGGTGCATTCCCAAGTAGAAGTTTTACTGTCTTTTATGCCAAGTTGCAATGACTAATCTGGCAACTAGTTCTTTTTGTACTAATTCAGGCTAATTAGTGATGAGGATCACTATGTAAGGCATACTGAAGGAAAGATTTAACCTTTAGCGTGCCAGTAAACATTGTTTAAATTCAGACCACTGAGTTCCATTTAATATTCAAAGAAATTCTTTCATGTCGATTCTTATATGTCCATATTCTTATGAGATACAGCCCCACAAACCTGTTGCCACCCAGTGAGTCCTGTAGCAGTCGGGTCAGTTTGGAGTCTCTGTAAGGCACGTGAGTGGAGCGCTTACTCCTGTCTCCCAGAGCGCTGATGACATTTCCTAAAGCGAGCTGAGGTAAGACGGGGAAGAAAGACAGGAGAGGAGCATGTATTTAAAAAACGACAAGCTTGTGATTGGATATTTGAGGGTAAAACAATTCCAGGACTTGCTGAAATAGGGAATAAACAACCCTCTACTTTTGAAAAAACACCATTCCTTTGTACTTGAATGAAGCTTTAAATAATGGTACTTGTGTTAGTGAAAGAAATTATGTGTGCGGTTCCTGGTCTGACCACCTGGGGGCTCTCTTGTACCACAAGATCATCAGACGCTGGTGAACGTTGATATGAGAAAATGAAGAGTTGTCAGCCCAATGAAGAAAACCTAAATGTTTGCCTGTAAATCCTAATGGATCAAATGCAGAAATACGATACATGACTATGACCGTGTGTGTGTCTTAGCTCCCTCACCAGCCCGCAGTTGATGGAGATGCCCTCTTTAGCTCTGTCTCCTGTAGCTCCAGTTCTCTTCAGTCTCTCAGAACCAGCCAGATCCACAAAATGGAACTTGGCTGTCAGCGTCTCAAACTCATTAATCTCCGAGTTGTTCGCTAGACGGTTGTCTGTTACATTATCCTGGCAGAGAGAAAACAGAACAGGAAATAAACACAAACTTCTCAGCAAGTGCTACAATTGAAATGTTTCAGTGTGTTAAGAGTACGTACGTCGTTATCGGGGGAGCAGACTCGAACTTGGCACAGGTGGATGGTAAAGATGGCGTGGGAGCGCGAACTCTGGACGTTCATCTGGGTGCTGGCGGTGGTACGAGACAGCGCGCCCAGTTTCAGACACTGTAACATCTGTTAGGTGAGAGGTGACGGGAAAAGGTGGCAAGGAGGAAAAGAAGACAACTAAATTGGTGTATTCAAACATCACAGGAAATCCATGAGCATGATATTAATACAGAAACTGTTAAGTATAGAGAACCGGTCTGTTACATAGCAATCAACTGGATAAAAAGTTTTGTTTTTTGCATCAAAAAGGTGACAGTTTCTATTTCCTTCTTTAAAATGTCAATCAGGTCAATCAGATTAATAACCTTGCTATGGTCAGCTAACATAGGGACTCTTTCTTTAGTACAAAGCAGTACTAGAGAAAACTTTTAACAGTAGTAGAGGTTTTTTAGAGTAACAGGGATACTGTTAAACAAGTACAATTCATAAATCTAATAGACAGACATCTCTAAAGCCAAAAACTACTGTACCTGCATTGATGGAAACCATGCAGGTACAGGGTGACCTTTCATATTCTAGTGGTGGTTTGGAGTAATCAGTGTTTTCCATTTTAGAATAAAATGTATTAGGACTGGATTTCAATGATAAAACAATGATTTTAATAGTCAAATAATAAAATGCAATGCAACATGTGCCACTGCTGATGCTTTGTGTAAAAAAAGGACGGGTCTGCGCGTTAAAGCTGACCTCTGCTTCAGAGGTGACGGTGCGAGTGGTGACCCCGACGGTGTAGATGCCTCCGCTGGCGTCCTCATGGATTTTGATGTTGGATCTCTGCTTCCTGCCCTCGATTTCTCGCGTCGAGTCGAACAAGTCCAGCACCTCTTCGTTGTACAACTGGAGGGCGTGAAAACAGATAACGCACATATTATCACAGGAACAGTCAATATCATTATTACTTCCCAGCCTCATCGTTGCACCTCAGCTGCTTCCTCACCAGCTGTTAGCAGCCACTTATTGGCCGTTAAAAATAAATCCAGGAGCTGAACACAGAGACAGACAAATGACAGTTTAATGGCTGTGGGGTCATCTGGCTGCTTTCACAACTTAAAATCATTACACCCCCTTCTGACCTTTGACCCCTTCCTGTCTGCATGCACTAGCTACATCAAACTAATGGGCCTTAAGTGGACTGGATGTTTAGAGTTTAGACAGTGCTGATGAATGCACCTTCATTTGAGACTTTGTTTAAATCCTGAGAAACAGTCACATTTTTGGTGTGCCTCTGTGTATGTGTGTGTGTGTGTGTGTGTGTTTATGCACCTCCAGAAACTGTGCGTTGATCTTGAACTCCGGAACAGGCCTGCCCTGCTCGGTGGCAGCCTGTCTGCGCTCCTCGATTCCTTTGAACAGGTGGTTGACAGCCCGGGGAATGATACCCAGCTCGTCCTCCCCGATGTTGACGTCGAAGCCGGTTCCCATGGTGTAGGTCTTCCCCGAACCCGTCTGTGGGAGAAGACATCAGTTACTTTACCAAATGGGAATTAAAATCTGCTCTTATCATGTGTGTGTTTTCTGTGTATTTCTTAGCCGTAACATCCAACCACACTCTCTGAGACTCAGAGGTTAGGGTGCAGCCCCGAGAAGTTTCTCTGGCATGGGGGTGGGGGGGTGTCAGAGGAGATGGGGAAGTCGCCATGGTGACAAAAAGAGGAATGCAACATTGAGCTCAAATTCAAGCGTCACCCTCCTCAACAGACCCTGACAGGAGTGTGTGTGTGTGTCTTTGTATGTGGTGATAGATGAGGGAGTGCGTGTGAGCAAATGTGCGTGTATGAGAAAGCTGGTAGTGTGTGTTAGACTGTTTTACTCTATAAGAACACACCAGTGTGGTTACTATGTGTACATTCACATACACAGTGTGTGTAGGGTTGTGTATGTGTGGCCTTCACTGCACCGCGTGAAAGGCTCTTTGACGGGAACACAAGGGCTGCAGGAACAATGTGAGGAGAGAATAATGAACAGAAAGAGTGAAGGGAAAGATTAAGAAGAGGGAACGTTTAACTGCTGTCGTTCAGCTGCAGCCGCAGAAAGCTAAAAAAATCAGTTTTTTTATGTTTATGTGAGTATTCTCGAATGCAGTCTTGTGGCTGTATTGCAATCTGGCAACCAAACTACAATTTAATGTGACATTTCCTGAATTATTAGGGCTCTACAATGGACTTTGTCTTAAAATTGAGATTGTAGGTATTTACAATAATGTTTTATTGTGACATTTGTCCATTTTTTGACTCTCCTTTGACTCTCAGCTGTACATGGGTATACAAATACGTGCAACAGCATATGTTTTTTACTTCTATATTAATAGATTATTAAAAAAATTATTTAAAAAAAAACAGGAAATGTTCAATATTTTGTGAAATATGCTTATTTGCCAACTTGCCAGGAGTTAAAGGAGAAAGCCACTCTCATATTTGTCTGTTCAATGAAGCTACAACCAAGGATGCTAGACTATGCTAGCTAAACTAAGCTAACCCTCAGCTGAATGTAGAAGGTCCAGCAACCGCTTAGCTTAGCTTAGCATAAAGACTGGAAACAGCTGGTTTCTGTGCATAGAAAACAAAATCTTACTAGCAGCACCTATAAAGCTCACTAAATAGCACATTATATGCAGTTCATTTAATCTGTACAAGAAAAGAAGTGTCATTTTAAAGCTAACTCATACTCATATTTACTTTACAGACATGGTAATGTAAGAAAGTGAATAAGAGTATTTCCCAAAACTATTCCAAACTGTGAAGCTGTCAGTGGGAAGGTTAGTGTTTCATCTGTTTAATGTCTCTCAATTACATGTTTAGTTCCCTGCTCTGGTATGAGGTGAAGCAATCTGTTCACACTGCTTTCATTGGGCCATAAACTCCCTTTCTATCTCTCTCTCCCTCTCTCCAGGCTAATCTATCAGAGCCAATATAAAGCTGTGGTGGTGAGAGCAGGTTGGAACACGTCAGCTGATAGCGTATTGACAGAGAGGGCGCAGCTGTGAGGCCTGTTCACTCCCATATTGCTTGTCTGATGATATTAAAATAAAATCAGCTTCATATCACATGCTGCCATAAATCTTGCGGTGCTGGGAGCAGCTCCATCCCCTTGAGCGATGCAAAGTGGAAAACTTCAGCGAATGTGAATGTGCCAGTGTTCGTGCGCCATGCCCCTGTGCAGATCTAGTAACATGAGGAAAAGCCTGTTGACCGACCTGCCCGTATGCAAAGATGGTGGCATTGTAGCCCTCAAAGCAGCCTTCAATGAGTTTCTCTGTGCATTGGGTGTAGATGGCTTCCTGCTGGCTGTCCATGTCGAAGACGTGGTCGTAGGTGAAGGCCTTGTCCTTACCCAGGAACACCTGCGGCTCCCCGGGCATCACATACGTACAGATGTGACAGCCCTCGATCTTCTCTTTGGCCAGCTGAGGACGGATCCTATTAGACAGAAAGAGACAAAGACAGTGAGATTTTTAACTGCCTGCCTAACTTACTTCTTCCTAGCTTTTAGCTTATTGGGAAAAGAAAATTCCAGTGCTGATCTTTTTAAGCAGGAGAAACAGTATTAAACCCTCTAATACATGGCTGCAAATTAGATAATGGTATTAAATAGCAAGACGCAGCCCTGCCTAAAAATTAATGTGTGCAGAAAAATGTCATCGCAATCGATTCAAATGTTTTTGAGACCAACCGATCTACTGACATTGCCATCCCTATAGACACACCACAAGGCTAAAAATCAAACCCTGTCAAGGACCATTCCAAGGATAATTTCAAAAACTCTCAAAAACTCAGTTACACTTTTTAAAATGACAAATTTTCCAGATTTCCCGGGGCCTTGGCAAGTCTGGTTTGTGGGTGTTTGTTAATATGTGTGTGGGGAAAAGGCAGAGCAGAGCTGTCTGTGCATGCATCTAATTTTGATCAAGAATTTGTCTAATGTATAAAAACCATGATGAACCATGATTATTATTATTTCGTTTGATGGTAAAAATGTAGCTGAGGTGAAGCAAGCAGATGAGTGCTGCTACTTTGCTCTGTGTATGTATGTGTGTGTGTGTGTTGTGTGTGTGTGTGTGTTGTGTGTGTGTGTGTATATGAAGGACCATGCAGTGCCAGCACACTCTCCAGCAGTCACCATACACAGTACAGTGCCCTCACTGTTCACGAGAGAGCTCTGGGTAAACAGAGTCCCACCCTGAATTTCATTAAGGAATCGCTCTGTTTGCTTTAGTGCAAATAAACACACTGTGTTATTACATCATTTCCTCCCATGATGCTCCTCTGCCGCTCATCACTGAACTCACTGTCCACCTGAAGAGGAAGTGGAAATATTGGAGGGAGACCAAGGAAATATTTAGACATATTGGGAGCAATACAATTTTAGAAATACTTGCAGCTTTAAGAGAAAAATATTAAAGATTATATACAGCAAAAGATAATAAATACTGGACAAAAAAAATAGAAATTTCCTGCTGGGATACCTTTTGTGGGTACTAAATGCATTTCTCCAAGGCTACAGCCCAGCGAAATGAAAGCACAGAAGAAAAAATAACAACGGAGACACCTGAGAATCTCAGAACAGTGACGTTATAAATGCCTGTTATTGTTGCTCTCTGCTGACAGGCATTAACTCTGAGTGTGTGAGACAGTGTGTGTGTGTGTTAGGATGTGGAGCTTTGCAGTTTGTATTCTGTGTGCAACACGTGTGTGTACACTTTTTGTGTGTGCTTGCATTAAGAAAAGACTCTCACAGCAAGAGTCTATAGAACTTCTGAATGGCCTGAAAGGAAAGTCTGCGTGTGTGTATGTGTGTTTGTGTGTGACATCAGATCCCAGCTATTTAGCAGCCTCTATCTGGGATTACAGCCTTGATGAGAAAGGAGGACAGAGGCAGGCAGGGACCAATGGATCCAGGCTTCAGGAGAAACACAGTCCTACCTGCAGTAACTGTACACCTGTACAGCATTATTACTGTCAGCTCTGTGTTATGGACAGCAGAACTGCCCAATTTATCACAGTGTATACAATGAATTATAAATTTAATGTCAGCAATGTCTTTCAACAAGATTATTTTGCTTTGTGACCACTTAAAGTGTTTAAAATATCCAGCTTTGCATGAGTATTTTCTAATTGTGTGTCATGGTACAGCACAGTCTTTTCACCAAGTAGCATTCACCAGAAAAATCCCCTAACTTGGCAAGTGTTGACTTGACTATAAAACCACATACAAACTGGGGGCAGCAGTGTGAGATGTCACCCATTATTCCAGTACTTTCAAACTGCATAGCTATTGCGTTGTTATCTATGAATGGAGGTAGATAGAAAGACCCATAAATGAGAGATAAACTAATACGGGGAAAAAAGTTATTTGTAACATGTCACCCTGTTTACAATTGTTGTTTTTCGCACTTGAGTTTAAAATCTGTCCATTGGGCATTCATTTATAATTACTCAATGTAATCTTTTGAGTAATAACAATTTTGCCTATTCACACATCCAGCAGACACAGAGTGACGTTAGCAGTAATTTTGAGTGACCACTGGGCGTCTTTTAGCCTTATTTTGGTCTCCACCAACTCCTGCTAAACACTAATGTCCCACTATGTCCACAAGCTAGTCCCTAACTTTTAGGGTTAGGGTTAGGGTTAGGGTTTTTCCTCGGTTGTTTAGCGCTGGGTAGGTAGCGTACAGTGGCTAAAAACAGCTACCTGCAGCATCTGGAATCAGTGCTGTTGAGAACAGTAAGAGTGAGCCAAAACAGTAAAGCTGTGAAGCATAAAACCAAAACAATGAGCTAAAATACACTAAAAAGCTCCGTGCAGCTGAGGGGAACTGCAGAGTCAGGGGATAATTCTCTGTGAGGTCGTGAATATAAGCACCCCCTTTCACACTGACTCATTGTTAATCCAAAAATATTCATTTGTTTTATAACAGTGCTCATTATATATGTTATATATAACTGAGGTTGTTCTAAGTGAAACTGACATAACAGTAACAGTCAGTGTTTAGGTCACCTGAGGAGACAGTGATTTAATGGTAGGATGGTTTAGGGGCTTTACAGGAGTGAATCTGCATTAATCCTTTTGGCCACCTTCCCAAAACTTGACGGAGAGCCATTACTGTAATCCAGTGTAACAATGGAGGCTCTCACTGCTGCTTACAGCAAGGGCATTAAGTCACTGGGTCATTGTTCACTTCGGCAAGTTAAAAGAAGTAGAACGAAACACGTATTTCAACATCATGTCACATTTAGAACATGTAAAATTCAGTTAAGTATAGAAAGACGTCAATGGTTGCCCAGTGTATCGAATAACAGAACAGGCCTGTATTACTGTGGCCCCATTTAGAATAAATGTCTAGTGTTTCTGGTTGTGTTGTGATGCAATGTTTGTTTCGTGTAGTAGATCTACGACATCTCCAGGGTCCTCCATACACAGAGGGTCCCGGGGAAGGGTGGGCTAAAGAGGAAAATGAATGCTTGAGGAAATAGAGAGAGATAAAGAGAATGAAAGAGGATGAAAAGAGAAAGAGACTGAGCATAATGGTAAGAGCCCAGACAAAACACTGATGACAATCAGCATTTGGAGGCCTCTGCAGTCCATCCAGCCAAACAGACCTATTATCTGTCTGTGTAATGATGCTCTTTCACATAACAAGACCATCAGGCTGAACTGCCTTTAGAAACTCTGCTGTTTTTTTTATCACTGATTTCTTGGTTCTTGAAGGTGCTAAAAGGGACACATTTTAAGACTGTCCTATGTACCATTGTCAAATTAATTGTGACACCTTGTTTTCCTTAATGTACTCTAAGGAAATTAGGCCTTAAGTGGTATTTAAATCTTCTACCTCATGACAACCCACTTGCAGTAGACAATCCTACAAAATTACTTTCAATGAGATTTGTCAATGAGATTTCTTTATGTTTGGACTTAAAGTTTCCAGCCTTTGTGCTAAGCTAACCACGTCCTGGCTATATGGTTAAGTTTAGAAAACTAAAATACTTAGTTTAGGTCACATAGAGACATTCTATGGCTTGACCACCACTGTGTTACTTTTTGCCCTGCTCCATAAAATAAATGCTAGTTTTTGCCACTCAACTTTGGTATTGGATACCAATCTTGCACTGCTGAATTGTACTCTAGATAGATTTTTTTTTTTAGTGCACTTAATTTAATGTTAGCCAATGGCAGATAAAAAAATATTCTAAAATTATTCTAGGATGCTTTATAAAATGTTAAATAGGCTGCTTCCAGACGATTGGTTTAATCCATGTTGTGCATCAATAGATTTCTGATGGTGTGTAACAGATTCAAATATGTCTTTGCCTCACATTAATGGTGTTTGGGTGCTGTGGCACAATAGACCTTTATTTTGAGTATTTCTTTGCATGTGTATATATACATCAACTAATACAAGTTCTGGCATCAGACATCTCAGCTAACTGTAAACAGGTGAGGGATAAGCTAGGTGTGAAGCACATCCTGCTGGTGTATTATTAGTGTGACTGACTTTGGCTGTGATTATGATCTGGCAGGCTTCACTTTTCTGTGGTTCAACCCAAAACACTCTTTTCTCCTGGATGAATAAGGGCTGCCCTTCAGCGCTGTGGAGATTTACAGCACTAATCCACCTTCTAGAGTGACACACACAGGCTCCTCACAGACGGTTTCTCCAGGAAATTTAACTCCACCACTTCCTAAATGTGCACAATCATGCACACACACACACACACACACACACACACAAAGAGAAGCATGCCTCAACACTTTCCTATTCTTGTACATACTATTTTACTGTTGTTCACTAAACTTAATTTGGGTAATAGTCATGTAACTTCATTGTGCAACAGCTCGATGATCCTTCAGGTAAATTCAACAAGCTTCATAATTTAAGTATTGTGCTTCTTTTGTATTATTTATTTGTCTTATATGTTGAAATGAGATGTTAAAATAAGTGTTCTAGTCTCAAGAAACATCGATTATTGCAGAATATCCAATGTGAACACCCCCATTCACAGGCACAGGTACACACAGAGATCAAAGGGCCCCCGAGGCCAAGTAAAAACCTTTGTGTAATAACTGCTCAACACATTAATCTGCTATGACAGTTTCAGCCTGTTGAAGAGAAAAAAAATGCTAAGAAGTTCCAGAGTGGGGAAGATTAGAGGGAAACATTTACATAATGAAGTTTTGGAGTATTTATCACCAGTTCATCAAGGAACTTTACAGTTTTGTTTTATCACTTATATATATAAATATAACTATAATACACAATCCAGGAAGGATTTTAATGGACAAAATCGTGCAGAAGGTGGCCAACCCCAAAGAGCAAAACATTCTCACATTAAGACACTGTGGCACTATAAAAAGCCTGATTTAAAAAAGAGAGGAAACATGTTGGTTGTTTCTTTAAAAGAATAGTTTAACATCTTTGAAA